ATGCTTTCGACGGGAGCTTGAAGGCGTACCTGCGTAAGCCCGAGGGCGGAACCCGGCGGCTGGCGGCTGGTGAGACATCAAGCACCATCAACGGCAGTATGCCGAAGACGGACCAGCCCACAATCGAGAGCAGCGGTGATTGCTGCTTCTCTGTGGACGGTCGTTACGTTCTGAGCGGTGGTCCAAAGGATGTCCTGGTCTGGGATATCTTGACACCGCCCCAGAACGAGAACAAGACCCTCGACGCTACATGGGTATTGGAGGAAAAGCGAGAGGCAGCGGTGTTAGCATTCAACCCGCGGTACAACTTCTTTGCGACGGCAGATCAAGATGTGATGTTCTGGGTGCCCGATCCTCATGCATGAAGCGGTCGGAGCATCAATGTAGGAAATTTAGAAGCTGCGAAATGGCGGTCTGGAGGGGTCAATTACTTTCGGAGTCTAGGATACGAGATACCCCAACCCGTTGAGGAAAGTCGACATGAATGAATTTTGTTGAAACCTCGGGGAATCACTGGTTATCATCTTGTCTTGAAAATATGCATGTTAGAATGGTGAAGTATTGGAGCTTGGGGTGACAGTCCTAGTGTGCGGCTTAAACTTGCCCCTCGCCAGGCATGCAAGGTCGGGGTACCTCAACTTGGGATGGCCGAACCCCACCAAAATTGCGTCCTCCACCAAAGCCAGGCCACCTCGACGACACCCAACGTCACTCCGACCACCACGGCGCGCACGACACCCTAGCGAACACTCCTCGAAGCTACCTCCTCGAGAGACTCGGGTCGCCATTTCTCAGGCGCTCAGCTACCGACGACACCTCCCAAGGACGCGCATACAGACCGGACCACCGCGCAAGGCCGTGGCCTTTTCTCCTCTCTCCACCCCCATCACTACCGTCACATCGCAATGCCGACCTACAAGACCAGCCAGGAATGGCTGGAGCAGTCGTCTCTGCTCCTCCAGGCCCGTCCGACTACCGTAAGCCTGACCCGCATACTAGCAACTCATCTGCCAACCTTGGACGAGGGAAAACGTAGCGGCGGCTAACCTCCAGCACCCCAAACAGACTAGAATCACAACAAAGTACTCCATCAAAGCAGTCAAACCCCGAAAGACCAAGACTTCGGAGGACGCCTCCGCCGCAGCACCCGCAGAAGATGCAGCCATGACAGACGCCAAACCCCCGCGCGGCTCCCTCGTCATCAAGACCTTCGACCCGGTCAGCGGCGTCGCCCTCAAATACCGCACCACAAAGGCCGCCGAGGTCTCCCGCCTCATCACCTGCCTCGGCGCCCTGGGCCGCACAATGTCCACCTCGAAACCGGCAACATTGGACGCCGCCGCCGCAAACAAGGACGAGCCGATGGCCGATGCGGGTGGGGAGGACACGCCGGCCGGCGCGGCGACGCCTGTGGAGAAACCCCAGGCTGCTGGAGGTGGAAAGAAGAAGAAGAAGGGCAAGAAATGAGGATTGGGATCGAGACAGTACTGGGGTGGTTAGTTGGAAGTGGGAGACGCAAAGCTGTTCGTGGGTAGGGGACAATATTGAGGCTGATATGTTGGGAGAGTCGCAGCCAACAGACACATCTTGGAGAACACATCACTATTCGAAAGGGCCTCAGCGAGTCTCATTGAAGCCTGCTTCCATGTGTATGCAAGACGTCTTCAGACGAATTTCAGGGGAATTTCTTAACAAAGTGGCAACAACACGAGCGCACAAGCTCATGAGAAGCAATAGATGGAAAACACTAGAACACATCACAAAAGAGAGACGTTCAGTGGTTGTTGTTATATCATGTGCGATTACTAAAAAGAGAATCACTGCGGTACATTATCCATCAAAGACATTCATGCCCCATTTTCCACAGTCATCCAACCAGTCCTTGGGAACCTCCAACTCCCTGTAAAATGATCCCCGCCAACGCCATGTATGTACGAAAAGAAAAACAGCTCTAAACCTCAGCACAGGTGTGGGAAGGGGGTTTGAGTGTGGAGTGTGAGATGACGCTCTGGCAAACACCATGCGTGTGCAATGTACAAGGGTATATGGGGGAAAAGGAAACAACAAAAACTTCAGACGCTTTAAGGTGATTTAGAAGTCCTCATCGAAAGCGAAGTCTCCGCCGTTCTCTCCCTCAACCTTGGTCTCTTCTTGCGCCTTCTTGGTGCTGTTGAGCACACCAGCCTTCTGGTAATCAGCGACACGCTTCTCAAAGAAGTTGGTCTTGCCACCAAGGGAGATATTCTCCATGAAGTCGAAGGGGTTGGAAGACTTGTAGACCTTGTCGTTGCCAAGAGCGACCAGGAGGCGGTCTGCAACGAACTCAATGTACTGCTTCATCAAGTTGGAGTTCATGCCGAGAAGAGCGCAGGGCAGAGCCTCAGTGAGGAACTCCTGCTCAATCTTGACGGCATCAACGATGATGTCCTCAATGACCTGCTTGTTGGGGCGGTGCTTGAGGTGAGAGTACAAGAGGCAGGCAAAGTCGGTGTGCAGGCCCTCATCACGGGAGATGAGCTCGTTGGAGAAGGTCAGACCGGGCATGAGACCACGCTTCTTGAGCCAGAAGATGGAGGCAAAAGCGCCACTGAAGAAGATACCCTCAACAGCGGCGAAGGCAACCAGACGCTGGGCGAAGGAGGAGTTCTCGTCGCTGATCCATTTCAGGGCCCAGTCAGCCTTCTTGCGAATGGCAGGGACTGTGATGCTAGTTAGCGATGCGCTCATGTAGGCGCGGGTTGTGTTCACGTACTGGTGTCAATGGCGTTGAAGAGGTAGGTGCGCTGCGCGGGCTCCTTGATGTAGGTGTCGATGAGGAGGGAGTAGGTCTCGGAGTGAATGTTCTCCATCATGATCTGAAAGCCGTAGAAGCAGCGAGCCTCAGGGACCTGGACCTCGCCGGAGAAGCGCTCGACGAGGTTCTCGTTGACGATACCGTCCGATGCGGCGAAGAAGGCAAGAATGTGAGAGATAAAGTACTTCTCATCATCGTTGATCTTGTTGTTCCAGTCGTGGAGATCCTTGGAGAGATCAATCTCCTCGGCGGTCCAGAAGGAAGCCTCGGCCTTCTTGTACATTTGCCAGATCTGGAAGTGAAGAGTTAGTCATGGGTCAACGAGCAAACCACTTTACGCGTCTTGCGACGCGTTCACATACCTCATGGTACTTGATGGGGAATAGGACGAAGCGCTGGCCGTTCTCCTGGAGGAGGGGCTCATCCTTCTCCTGCTCCTTGATGCCGGGAGCGATAACAATCTTGTTCTCATTCTTGACTTCTTGTGTGGGCTTTGTCTGAACATCGGTCTTCTCGGTTGCGGTGGCAACGTCGGATGTGAGGGGCTGATTCTCCTTGTCGGCGGGGTTGAAGTTGAGCTTCTTGACGGGAGACTCCATCTTGAAAGAGTCGAGGGCAGCAGCGGCCTGGAGAAGTGGTTGTTAGCGATTGCGACCATGAAAAGCGCGTGGACCATAGTCAAGCTCGGCTTAACCGAGTGGTGACGTTTACTTACCTGCTTGGACGGAGTGACTTCGATAGACATGGCGGAAGTGTGTAAAATGTGGTGGGAGAGGAGGAATGAAGGCAATTGAATGGAAGAAGGGGAAGACAAGACTTTGGAAGAAATAAATTGAGGTCGTGAGTCTGTCTTTGGCTGTGGTATTGTCGTGATTGGGAGTGAAGAAGATGTCTGTTGATGGTCGAGGAACTCTGGAAAGGCAGAGTTTATGTAGCGGGCAAGCAGCACCGAGCGCTAGGTAGTGGGACGCGTTGAGCACAGGGCAGGGATACTCGCGTTTTCGTGTTTTCTACGGAGTACCTAAGTACTTGGGTACCTCGAGCTTCGTACCTTTTTCGTAGGTGGCTATGGAAGCTGGTCTGATTGCCTAGAGCACTTAAAGCTGAATCCACGCGCCGTCAATTCCCCTCCACCCCACTGAAAAGCGCGTCTTCCAGGGGCATCGCCGGCGCGTTTCGTTCCAAAGTGGAAGGATCTTGTCTCGCTTCTCACCTTTCCACTTCCAGACCCTGTAAAGTGCCCAAGACCTGGCGCAGAAAAGTCTACCGACTGTGGTCCCAAAGGGAATATGCCAGGCCCAGCCCTCTTTTTTTGGCCCTTTTTTCCCTCTTCAACATGCTCATCATTTGTAAGTTGGGTCGAGCTACGACGCCGAAGTGGCCGCTTGCGTTCCACCCCCCGGCACGCCAACCAGGCAACACGATGTCATGGCCGGGAAACCAGAGCAAGCTCTGTCCGGAGACTCGAGAGCTTCGGCCGAGCCACACACGTTCCAGATATCCCATTTCCGCCTACAAGCCCCATCTCCCGGCCCTGCACACGCTTCTTTGAGCTGGATTCGTCCTCGGCGTTACGACTCGACGCGTTCCAAGCCCATCCTTCCCCTAGGTACTTCGATGTCAGGTATCAGATCAGATCTGATAAACTGAACACGTCCTAGCTCCAGCTTCAGTGGAACCCAAGTGGCCCATCCAAGACTCATCAGCCATGTAATCTCGTCTAAGCATCGACAAATCCTGACTGTATGACTCTCGGCTGCGGGTCGACGCGTTGGAAACGGACTTGCGGAATTACCATCACCAGTCTGATCGTCAATTTGACCGTTGGCACGGACACCGATTTTCGGATTCCCATCCAGATCCAAACAGTTGATGTGTCACGTACACGTCAACTCTTTGCAAGGCCTTAATGTTTCTAGTGAATCGTATTAAACTACTGACAGCTTAACTAAAGCAGTGTGGGTATGTAAAAGAAAAGGTTTCGTGTCATGTTCATCTTCTTCGTCCAAGTCTTCATAAAACAAGCATGCAGAGCCAGGCAGACCAAGTGTCCGTCATCTTTTGACCATCCATAGGCTACACGCAAACACCAAGTGTGCTTTCCAGCCACCGCGAATTCCGACGAGTTACCCCATGTGTCGTCATCGCCAACTCCGACATTCGACTCTTCTTTTTCTTGAAAAGTATTTTTCGAGCAGCCGGTAGTCTAATGACGCGATTGACGAGCAGGTCTGTCTCTGGGATCGCGAGCCGCCTCAACATCGTCATCAACTCTCGAGCGACCTCCAAACCCGAACCAGCCTCGACCGCCGGGACGCTCCTCTCTGACTGCAGCGGCGGCTGGAGCAGTTGGTGTGCGTTCGTGGCGGCCTGCTGACATGTGTCCATTGCGAGAAGGCTCACGGCTGACGTATTCGGGCGGAGTGCGGTCGCCTTGCAAGCGATCCCATTCATCTGCCTCACTCGGGTCGACGGCTGGAATGGGAGCTCCGCTGCGCTTCAGGTTCTTCTTTCCCTTCTCGCGAAGATGCTCCTCGAGAAGGATGGCGTTCTTGGTGTTGGCGCGGAAAGCAGCATCAGCGATGTCGCCCACGAAAGGCACCAGGCCAATGACGAAATCGATAATGATGTTGAACATCATCTGGGATTTGACTGAATTTGGGAGTCCACCTTCGACCTTAGAGCAGGTTCTGAACACCATCATGGCCATGAAAGCATCGAGAACATCACCAACACTAAAGCCAACATGATGTTAGTCGTTGTCTTGTCGATAAGCCGAATGGGGACTGTGGGGGCGATGCAGCAGCAGGGGAGGAGGACAGGCACTTACGCAGGAACTAAACCGATGACGCTACCCCATCCAAATTTCACACCACAGCAGCTGAAAAGCGACTGATCGAGACGGTAGGCTCTTCTCTTGACTTTGGTCAAAACCTCGCCATCTTGCTTGGAAAGGCCAGGCGGCAAGGCCTTTCTGCGCTTCTTGACCTTGCCGTTGGGGGTACCATCAAGCCTGGTGGCGGGGACGCTCTCAAAGTAAGGGTCCTGGTGATAAGGTCAGTATATTTTGTTCGTGGATCCACCGTATCGCAGGTGAGTACAGGGCCCAGGTGTAATAAGGTAACGGACCTCGCGGCCAAATTTGTTTTCGACCTTCTCAGCAAGAATCTTCTTGCTGACCCACTTGGCGATGAGACTGGCCATGTTTGCAGTTGTATCGTTGACGAAGTGCCGAACCTCTAGGTTGTGTGTGAGTGCCGGTTTGCGAAGAACGGTGTTTCCCAGTCACTGGTAGTGATGAGTGGCGCACTAAGACAGAGACAAGCCCGTCAGGACCGTTGTTGACAAAAGCTTTCGCAAGGCGGCCCTCTGTGCTCTTGGCTTAGACTGAAGTAAGAAAACCTTGGCAAGCTGGTAGGTATTCCTGAAGGTAAGGTTGTCGAAGGACAAGAGGTTCCAAGACGGCTGCGACAACCGAGCGAGAGGACCGGTCTTGGTGATATAAGTAGGTGTTGAGAGAAAAGCCGGGAAGCTGGCTGGCAGGGTCCGAGCTGCCAAGGTGTGGTAAGGTATGGGTTGTATAGGTGGTATGGTACTGCGTAGATCAAGTTGCCTCTTGTGCTCATTGCACACTACGTAGGTCGGTTTGTAGCTAAGTTACAAGAGGTTGGTCCCTTGGACGCTTGTTTTCCCCCGCGGGCGCCCAGAATTCCTGTTTTGACAAGCCAGGGGACCAGACTACCATCATGATGTAATTTTGTCGGTCACTGCACGCCAATGCAAGTGCCTCAGTTCCGAGAGGCCTCTTCAGTGGGGTCTGAGCAGGCTAGACCGCAGTCGTTTCACATCATGCTGCAGCGGCCAGTTGGCTGGTCTCCAATGAGCGTGCGCCGCGACTGGTCTTCAATGGCCCTGAATTGCATGCAATGCAGCACACAAAAGCACTCACGGGGCCTGCCAGCAGACTCAGCAGTGAGAGAGAGAAGAGAGGCCGGCACGTCCAGCCACGCAAGTGTGGCAAGTGATGTACGTGCACAGCCATATTGTGGCTGTGTTCTTCTCCAGAATCTTCAATGTTCGCCCCTTGAATCAAGGAAGCTCCCACCTCTCGGGTGCATTCCACCGAAGGAAAATTGTCATAGGATGAAAAGCTATTGAGGGGGCTTGCCTGTTGGCCTCCATGCTTAATTCCTTCAACAGTTGAGGCAACATATACCTGACAGGGAGCGGTCGAGACCGGATGGAAGCGAGGTGTTGATCTGATGTGGTTGACAAGCTGGAGAGATGGGCTGTGTCATGACAGTTTGGCCGCACAATCTATGCGCACTGTAATCATTATTGAACTAGACGTGTGATGAGACAGTGCGCGGTTTGACACCTACGGAGATGGGGAGGTTGCACCCAATCACGAGCTCGCTTAGCAGCTTGCGACCACGGCATCCAGTCAGGCATCTCGAGGAACGGGCCCACGGGGATGCCAGCTAGATACCTACCTACCTTACGCTGTACCTTACCTACCTTACCTTAGCTGCCTGACGTTGCAGTATCTGCCATCGTCAACAAAGACGTGCAGTGCCCGTCACTACTCCGCACCCTACCTCATCCAAACTCCAAATCATCACCACCACATCTGAGAGGCCGCTTGTCAGCGCATCCGCTCCAAACAACAAACATACCGCATCCCTGGGAAGCCACACCTGTCCCGCAACTCCATCCTCCTTGATCCGCTGAATTGCCCGTCGCTGCCGATTCTCGTTGCAGCACGCGCAATCCGGTCGCAAGCGGAAAGCTTTGAGCCCGACCAAATACCAAGCCTCTCCTTCCGTACCATGCAACGGTTCCTCAACTCGACCTCAACACAGACTCATTGCCAGGAGCATTTCGCCACCTTTACTCCCTCGCCAGGTACACCCGACTAAAATAGAAATATCGTCCTTGGGACATGTTATTAGCCATCGCGCAACATGGCCGAAGAAAAGATGCAGTTAGAGGATTGTTGGTTGCCCCACACCTTGGAAGATACACGGCGATAGCTACTCAGCCTTGCGCCATCAACTCATGACAGTTGCTGCGGCAGGACTAACAGTACATAGGGTTGGACGATCTATGTGTTCGATTTATCATCAACCTACCTGAAGAAGACCTGTCGTCCGTTGCTCGCATCTGTTTCCAGATAGAGGAGGCACAATGGTTCTACGAAGACTTCGTCCGGCCACTTGACCCCACGCTTCCTTCAATGACACTTCGAAGTTTCAGTCTTCGAATTTTCCAACATTGTCCCCTACTAGCTCCGTTTTCGGTCGAGAATCATACAAAGGCTTTTGAGGAGTTCTTGCAGTACAAGACTCGAGTCCCTGTGAGGGGAGCCATCATGCTCAACGAGGCTATGGACTCGACAATCTTGGTCAAAGGCTGGAAGAAGGGCGCCAACTGGAGTTTTCCTCGCGGGAAGATCAACAAAGACGAAGATGACCTTGAATGCGCCGTTCGTGAGGTATACGAGGAGACAGGATACGATTTGCATGCTGCTGGCCTGGTTCCTAAGAACAGAGAAGACGTCAAGTACATCGAGGTCACCATGAGAGAGCAGCAGTTGAGGCTCTACGTCTTCCGCGACGTACCGATGGACACCCACTTCGAGCCACGGACGAGGAAAGAGATCAGCAAGATTCAGTGGTACAAACTATCCGAGTTACCCGCTTTTCGAAAGAAAGGAAACCAACCTCAAAACGAAGCCGCCGCCGCCGCCAATGCGAACAAGTTTTACATGGTTGCACCCTTTCTGGTCCCTTTGAAGAAATGGGTCGTGCAGCAAAAGAGGAAAGATGCTGTGAAGGCTGCCAACGAGGCGCACTTCAACCCGTACTCTCTTCACGAAGAGCCTGTCACTGAAGACGAAGTTTGGCAAACCGAACCCGCGACTGATGTTTCGACTCGGACGCCGGGCCTTGATACTCTGGAGGGTGCAACACAGGAATTGCAGCGTCTATTGAAGGTCCATCCCACGGCAGCGCAAGCAACATCGAAGCCAGCTTCTCCGGATATTGGAGCAGACAAAGGAGCATCGCTGCTCGCTATCCTGCAGGCCAAGAATCAAGCAGTCGCCCAAGGGGTCCCAGTCTCGCACCTCCCTCAGACGCCCCTCGATCATACTATTAGGCAGGCTCCACAGCCTCAAAGCCCTCATGGCCAGCATCACCCTCAGCAACGGGCACCGCTGGCGAGTTATCAAGCTCCTCCGGCATTCCCCATCGGTCCAGATGGAACACCACAGGCTTGGGCTTTCCAACAGTCTGGAAATGCTGGCTCAGCTCATCCTCAAGCCAGGCAATACGGTCCTTCAATGATGGGTGGCCCTGCTCAACTGCCACAGCCGCCCCTGAGGCATCCTCAACCATTGCCGCCTCAAGCTCAAAAGATTCTGCTGAACCGAAATGCGTTCGCCGACGGCACACCCCCGCCGCCCCCTCAACACGCACAGGGGACTGTTAACCAACCCATGGCGAATGCTCAATATCAACCAGCACACTTCCAGCAGCAAAGCCAGAGCATGACGTATCAGCCCAAGCCGCCTAGCAGTCACCTCTCTAATCACTCTATGGCACTCTTGGGAGTGCTCAAGTCGGATACAAGAACTGCTAGTCCAGATAAGGCTCGTCAAGCATACCAGCAGCCCTACGGATCCGCATCTCAGGGACAGGGACAATCGCCAATTGGACTTCATGGAAACGGAGCTCCTCAGTATCCTCAGTCGCCTAGCATGTCGGGGGCAGGCGCAGCACACCCCCAGGGAAGTCCATCCACGAGGGCCCAGCAGCCTATCGATCCTGCGCATCGGTCTGCCCTCCTTTCCATGTTCAAGAACCCTGAAGTCAGCTCCCCACCTGCCAACCAACCCGTCGAATTACCCGGAACTACAGCTAGCGCTGCTCTTTTGAAGGGAATATCTACTGTAAAGGCTAGCAATCAGGAGGTTCCCAGCCCTGTGTTCCGTGGAGTTCAGCCAGCTTCAAGCAGTCCTCTGAGCAGACCACCTCAGAGCGCTTCGGATCCAACCACACAAGTACCCTTTCAAGGTCTATCGCTCCAATCTCAGCTCGGTAGACAAGAGCACAGAAGCCCTCAGACCATTGGAGGTTACAGCCCGAGAACGATGGAGAACAGAGGTCTCTATAATCAAGGCGCGAATAACAATTCCGCCATATACAATAATCACTCGCCCCAAATGAACCCGAATCAGATCCTCCAGCGAGCCGAGAACATGAGCAAGCCTGTTGGCCCTCGTGCGCCTGCTCTAGCCTCGGTTTTCGGGGTCGACAAGCCGGCCAGTTTGGCCAGCCCGCCGTCAGCGTCCGCTCTCCCCGCACCTGCTGGGCTGCAGCAGAAATCACAAATGCCCCCCGAACAGAGGCAGAAGCTTCTATCACTTTTTGGCAAGCCTCAGTCGCCGAGCCCCGGGCCTGGCTTTGCTCCCGAGGATAAGGGAAAGGCCAGGGAGATGATGGCTCCGGACGGGGGCATGCGATCACGTGTGGCTTCTTTGGCCTCTGCAAGCGGTCAAGGCGTACAGGAGGGCCTGTCAGAGTCTCGTCGCGGCAGTCAGACACCGATTTCTCCTGCCGACCGAAGTTTCCTGCTTGGCTATTTGGCATCAGTTGCCAATAACGCTAAGTAGGCTTCAATGCCTCGATCGAACGGTATGAAGGTGACCGAGTGAAGAGGAATGCAGGAGTTCACCGCGCGATTTTCCTGGGGTACACGCTTGATTTGTGTTTCGTAGTTCTTTTGCTTTCGGTGTTGCATTGCGACGGGTTGATGGGATTCCAAACGTTTTTTAAAGGTGGCAAAGCATTGCTTGGGGGAGAAGGGCCAAGGTGCAGGATGGGATATCGAGGCAGGAAAACTATACCCTGGGACACACCTCATTTACCAGTTTCGCAGCAGTCATTGGGTCCAATGCTCCAGATATTAAATAAGCCACTTTGTCTTTGATTCACGCCGTAATGCTCGAGGTGAAGGAGAAGCACTGGATACCACCAGCCAGCGTTGATACATGGGCTCACCTTTCAAACCCCGCCCCCGCGCAATCCCACGTGGCTGTTTTCCCGTTTCCGGCCGTTCGCCGTGGCGTGATATTCGAGAGCGGCCCGCACCGGTCTGCTTGGGCTCTTCCATGAGTCCGTACGGTAGTACTTTGACTTAGTTTGTCAAGTAGGTATGCTTTCGTTACCCCAATCGAAAGTGGCCTGATGCTGCGTGGGACGGTTCTCCGGTCCTCTCTTTCGCTTATCCGCCCCTTCGCCTCTCTCGGTATAAGCCACATGAGCAATGGGAACAGCACAGCAGAAGCCTGCTTTGAGATGTCTGGGGTGAGATTCACTGAGCTTGAGTTATACCAGGACTCCGCGTGTGCCATGATTTCCCATCGAATCATGTAGGTTTCGTTCAGGTGTGGCCGTCTTCTGGGCACGCCGATGACACCACTTGACTCTGGAGGCGAGCTGGCATAAGAAGTCGGAGAACAGCACACCATAGACCGTGGAGGAGAGTAACTTGTAGAAACGGACAAACACCATTTTCAACCAGAACCTTTGATTCATACTTACAGCAAGCACCGGATCCGGTTAACAAACTACCCTCGTAATTGACCTTCCACAGGCCCAGACTGCAAAGAAAGGAAGCCCGTTAGACAAGAAGTGCCCGGCTAGCAATGTTCTTCACCACCTCCCCAGACGCCCTCTTCATCCCGCCCACGACCATCGACCCGGTGGGCTTCGGCAAGGTCGCCATCGTCACAGGGTGCGGCTCGGGCGTGGGCCTCGCGTGCGCGCAGCTGCTCCTGGCGCACCAGTACTCCGTCTGCGGGCTCGACACGCGCGAGTTCAACTACGCGCTGCTTCAGGAGGCGGACCACGGCCGGTTTCATTTCCACCGCGCCGATCTCACTGGGCCGAGGGCGTGCGAGGATGGGGTGTATGCTGCTGTTGCTTCTTTTGGGTGAGTTTTGTGTTGTTCGAGGATGCTGTTCCGGGGGGGGGGGGGGGGGGGGGGCAAAAGGGGGGGGGGGGGGTCGTGTGTGGCGGTGGGGGTGGGGGGGGGGGGGTGGGGGGTGGTGTTTGGTGTGTTGTTTGTTGGGGTGGTGTTGTGGTGGGGGGGGGGGGGGGGGGGGGGGGGGGGGGGGGGGGGTTCGGTCAAAAGAGGAGAGGAAGGGTATCGATCTGAGATATGATGATGGACTGACGGGTGATACTTCAGCGGACGTATCGACTTGCTCGTCAACGTTGCGGGCGTGATGGGATCGTTTAGCAGCGCCGACGGCGTGACGGACTCGGAATGGGATCGGGTAGTGGCCGTGAATCTCACGGTCCCGGTCAAGATGATGAGGGCGGTGATCCCCTTTATGCTCGAGAAGAAGTCGGGCGTCATCGTCAACGTCGCCAGCACGGCCGGCGTCTCGGGAGCCGTGGCTGGGATAGCGTATACGTGCAGCAAGCACGGTCTGGTTCGTTCTCTTTCTCCTATTTCTTTACCAACCTTTTTTACTTCGCTGGGTAGACTTCTCGGTAGAAGGCCTCGAGGGTAGATCGAACATCGCTGACACCCTGAGACGGTAGATCGGCGCCACCAAGAATGTGGCATGGCGCTTCCGCAAGGAAGGCATCAGGTGCAACGCGGTGCTCCCTGGCGCCATCGACTCGCGCATCGGCAAGGCCATTGCCGCCGGCCACGGAGGAGACGAGGAGTTCGATGCAGAGGCGTACGCGCAGGTTGAGCCCGTTCATGCCCTCCACGCCCAGGCGTCCGAGTCGACGCCGAATATCACGCCGCTTGAGGTCGCGCAGTCGGTGGTGTTCTTGGCGACGGACCAGGCGAGAACGATTAACGGGGTGAGTCTGCCGATTGACCAAGCTTGGAATGTTGTTTGAGGAGGACGTGGTTTGTTCGGGCTCGGTGATGATATGTTTTGCTTCAGTGTGTGACCTGCCTGATGTTGAATACGGACAATGGAAGACACGTTTGGGCTGGAGTTGTTTTTCAGGGTTAGTTCTATCGATGGAATACAAATTTATTCCTGGTCTCCTACCAATTCGTGTAATAGCCGTTTCATATACCTAGCGCAAGAGCGACACCGGTATGGTGACATCTGATTCATACAGGACATCACCTACCTCCCGGTCGAATAACCCATCACCACAATACGACGAAGATGGACAACAAATCAACAAAAAAGCTCGGGCGTTGGCTCGAACCCTATCCCTACGTAAAACCAGCGCCCCAGTTTCTTCATCACCCGTTTAACCACCAGGCTACGTGGCCCCAGCAAGTTTGCACTATACCAGGGAGACGCTCCTTCCTCTGAATCTGTGACTATATACCCTTTAGCCTTTTGTAGGAGACCGGAATAAATGGGAAACTGGAATGAACAAGCAAACGACAAGAAGTCAGGTGCAATATAATGAACCACGGGGTCCTCAATACTGTGCTTATAAGGGTCCAAGACAGTGTCTTCCCTGGGACAGAAAATGAGACATCACCCAGAGTCAGGGAACAGACTTCTGCTTAGATACTCTACTCTTATTTGACGAGTAGTTCAAGGTACAAAAGTCCCTGAGAAATACGTTTGTAGTAGGTGCTTTTGTTGATGCTGGAAAACCGGAATTAGTCATAGGTCTATTTCGTCTTCGCAGATGGACTCGAATATCCGCGGAGTGAGTGGCATCTAATAAAGTAACAAACAAACTCGAAGCGCAGGGTATCTCTAGAACTCCGTGCTACCATCCCGCCAAGAAATATTGCATACTCCTTCCCCCAAAAGACTCAGAACAGTGGCCCCTAGGCTCAAAGGACCAACATATACCAGGGAGCCCTCAAAGATCGCCCCCCCCCCCCCCAATTCCAAGTTTGTTGGGAATCGTACGGGATCCGGGCTTCGTTATTCCTCATCAAACCACAATCTTTAGCTGGGAGCTTGTGTGAAGCTCTGGCCGAGTGTTTTCCTCGTCCTCTTCAGTCTTGTCCAATTTCAAAAGCTCGAAACGGTTGGTCATGGGATTCATTGGGAGTCTGATCGGGGGCACTTGAGTCTGGGCTCGCTGAGGTTCGGCAGGCAAGGGCTGCGCACATTCATCGACGTCCCACTCGATTTTAGATCCCTTGTATTTGCTGTTGACATGTAAGTTCCAAAGCACTTATGTCCAGCGAGATGTACGACTCACAATCGACTCATCATGCAGGTCCGCGCAAACATGGCATTGTGCACAGAGTTCGTGTTGATGTAACAGCTTCCGCCTCGGAAACTGACAGCAATGACAACCAAGTTGTGGATGTGCTCCATATCATCCCGAATCTCCTCTTCGGTGAGCTTCGGGTCGCATCGTCGAAGGATGAGATTGCGACTGGCACCAATGCCGAGCTTACTCGCAACATGGCCAGGCAATGTGAAGTGCCGATCACTCCATCGAACATCAACCTATCATTGCGATTAGCCCTACGTGACGCTGGAAACTGAACGGCGTAGCCTACTCTTTTCTGTCTGATGTATAGATCATGGCGCCGGGTATGCTCAAGGAAGGCCGCTGCGTCGGTACCATGCAAGAAAGACACATGGGCAGTCCGGTCGTACGGTCTCATGAATATGTCCAGCAGCTGACCACCACGCACAACGCCAATGATATCAGCGTGAGTTGTGCCTTCGGCGAGGTTTGAGATCAAGATAGTCCTGGTGGCCAAACGCTCGAACCGAGGCTGTACGGGCAACTGGGAATCATTCTGATCCCCGAAAGCATGTTCAGGCTTGAGCTCAGGCTCAACGGGAGAGATCGTCGCCTCAGATTCATCGAGGCTGACAGGTTGCTCCTCGGGCCACTCACGCTTGACAGGTTGCTGAATAGGAAATCGGCTTAAGTTTTGGTTTCCTCGTGTAGCCGTGGCAGTCGTCACGCGTGACTGGCCGACTGTACGTTGAATCCCATTCTGAGGAGCCTCGGAAGATGAAGTGACGTGCCCTTCAACATTATCCTCTTGATAGTTGGACTCGTCACAGGTCAATACCTAGAAGCTCATCGATTAGCTTGTGTCGTTTACTGGGGTCAAAAGTGGAGACCTCGACTTACAGCCAGGGTAGCTTCAGTTACACCTCCTCGCATGAGGTTACGACGCAAGTTCGCTATCGAGAAGTCAATAACTAGATAATTACCGGAAATTTGATGCCCGGAAGAAGCTGCGCATAGTATAATTTGTGTGCATACCGAATTCTTGGGCCTTTTTGACAAGGATGTCATGCTCGGCGCGGGTAATGGTGACAGTGAGACAACTTGAGTTGGAATCGTTGTCGGTGTTCTTCAAGCAGGCTTCGTCAGCAATCCTCACGAAGACGAAGGAACAGATGAAGGATGGGCAATCGTGTAAGCCGTACCAATTGAGCCCTGTTCGAGTAGTTAGCCTTCGTCGTGAGATATTATTCACAGGCCGGTTTGGGAGTGGCTCGGTTGCTAGTGCGACTGAGGTGTAAGTAAGAGGTCTTACCTTCTGATGAGGGTGTCCAGATAATTCCGGTCGATCGAGATCGTGAGATCGTTTGTAGATGCCATGGCCTTTGTATTCTCCGTGATGTCAATTGACCAAGGTCATTTGAATTTTGGAGTTGGAGAAATAATTCTGCCGTGTGTGATGTTGAGGTAGTCGCGTACGGGTAGGTACAGGTGAGGCAGGCAGCCAGAGAGCGGTACAAAGGTATCTACTTGGAATGCCTTCTTTGCCAGGTGTGGGCGCAATAGGTAGGTAGGCAGTGCCTGTTGAGGGTACCTACCTTAGCTTTATCATCTTATCGATAAGAGTAAACTGTGGCGTGCGGGCAGGCAGTTCGTTTCCCTTATCGAGAGTGGTGGTTCGTGCTCCACCCATCCCCCGTTGGGTGACTTGGAGAGCCATCCTGCATCCTTTCCAGGCCACCTCAGGTCCAGCCAGTTTCTGGGGATGAGAAAAGGACTGCCCGTGGTCCCTGAGGCGGCACGTCATCCGGCGGGAAGTCTCGAGTCGTCCAAACCTCGTCCCTTGTTACTCAAACTCAATGTCGAGAACGGAAGCACCTTGACTGAACACGCCACAACGTAGGGGCCCCTTGGATTGGGCGCGAAAGTCACTGTAGGGATACTCTGCTTTTCGAGGTTAACTATCACGTACTCAACTAGAATAATCCTGAAGCTATACAGACGCATAACCATGACACCCGGATAAGATATCGACTTCTTCAACACCATTTTCTGTGCTAAAGACTGCACGAATATGCATCGAGGGCAAGTCAAGCAATCGAGGATTGCTTTCGTGACGGCGATGTTGACTGGAATGGATATTCTAATTGGAAGAGGACTGGATAGCAGTGGTAATGCCTCGTTATGCGGAGGGATGCTTGGTTTAATTGATGCAGTCCAAGCAGCCCTAGTATGCACCAAAGGCCTAAAATCAGTTGTCTCAACTCATCATTGGGCAAGGTGTTAGGGACTCGTCAGCTGCTGAACCTTTATATGTCTCGGATTACAGCAATGGGTTTGAAGAAGCACCCACATTGGCACAATTGTGCTTTGCTTGATACATTGGAGCGATTGAATGAATCACTGGTGCAGTCAATTTGCCTGGTGAGGTTCCGCAAAAAAAGGGACGGCTTCAACGACGGAACCGTTCGCCGCACGAAGCTGGGAACTCCCGGTTGATTGTCGCACCCTGTCCCAGGGATCACGACATGGGCATCCAGACTTTGAACGTCGATCCCGGCGGGACGGAAGAAATTTGCATGTAGTCGGAATATATGCCACTAGTAAGATATTAATGCAGACTTGCAGTTTCGCTCGGTCGCATGCACGAAAACGGTGCAGCAAGTACGAAAGATTGGCACGGCAAATTGGCTCTGTGTAGGCATGATGTGCACGCAAAAACCTGCTCAGAATTGATGCAAAGCGGGCCAAGACCCTGCGACTCTGCATCACTGATGCGAATGCTGACTACCTCATTCCTAGTCCTCCTGCCTCCGTACTCCGCAGACGTAGTCGCTACGAAGCACTGACGAGATGTCGGGCTGAGCGGAGGTAACTCTTAGGTGGTGTTACGAGCCACCAACATGTTAAGGTCCGAAACTGTGAGAAGCTGAGAGGCCTTCGGCGACTATCCAATGGTCTTGTGTATGTAGCTAGACGACGTGTGAGAACCCAAGCGGGCTTAAGACAGCCTGTTGGACAACACAACGGGAATTTTCTGTTGGTGGCTTTGTTGCTCGGGTCGGGGGTTGGGGAACCCGTGAGGAGATCCGATGGGATGCTCACCTCACATTAAGTGGCGATGGCAATAGCGGCTTGAGTCTCGGGCATGTGTTTGGGTAGATGTTTTGTCAGATTATGGAGTATTGAAAGGGAACACTTCATCAGAAGGCGATGTCATGATGGCTGCAAATCATCATGAACGGATGGAAGCGGCTGGTTATCTGTCTCGCCTCAGTCTCATGATTGATTGAAGATGTGGAGGCGCGTGTCCCGAGTAATTATTTTTAGAGGATGTCAACACGAGGGGGGGAAGGAATACGATGTGCCGGGTGGATCCCACATGCTGAACCCGATGCACCACTACCTAGGTCGCGAACCTCCAAGTCAGTGACGCTCACGTCCGTCCAGGTCCCTTCCCTCCTATTCGTAAGATACTTTCTGCTTAGGTCAGTAAATGCTTGGGACCTTAGGTACCTTGGAGACAAGGCATCTGAATCTGTACAGGATACTCCGTACCTATGCCCTCATTACCGACGAGCCTTGCATTGTTGTTGACCATTGTATGATACCCGTCCGGTTCCGACTCCTCCAATTGTGATAGAGACCTCATGAGATCTTGTTGAGTACTACTAAGGCTTCGCTCTCGAGCTGATAAAAAGAGGTCGGGACCAACGCTTTGGGGTGGCGGGGACGCAGGCCGAGGAAGGTCCAGGGCATGTCGATACGCTAGACGGTAGAACTAAAGATCCCTAGCGCAAGGAGGCAGGTACTGGTAAAAAACCGAGAAAGAGACTGGATCGAAAGACGGTTGGAACATGGCGGCTGGCGGTTGGCTGTTGGCTGTTGGCTGTTGGGTAGCCTAGGAATCTGTCTGTCCATTGTCCATTGTGACTCTGTCACGGCCTATCCTCTCGTGCGTCTCTATGAAGTACTTATGCAGATGTGCCTTTCTGTACCCGTATGCAGGTTATTTTTTTCTGCATTGGATGCCCCAGCCAAAAAATAATGTTTCCAGCCCTCTGTTTGGCTGGATTCCCTTGCTGACTGGTCCGATGCCCTCTTCTCAGCCCGGGCTGTGCTGTGCCACCCCATCTTTCTCAATGCATTGGTGTGTGGCCTAACAGGCTTCGCCCCTGTTCCCTAGGTACCTGCTGCATCGCGTTGCCCTGCATTCCCATTTTTATTGTTATTTTCTTCGTTCATACGGATTACGGCCTTGCCCGTGCCATGATTCCGTCACTACCTTAACGCGCCTTAGCCAAACTCGCACCCTTCGGCCACCACCCAATCTTCCCCTGGAGCTTCGAGGAGACGCTGGGAAATCCCCCCCGACCCCCCCCTGCCCTCCCCGAGAGTCACTTGCACATTCGGGGGATGGGCCTTGGTTGCTGTGGATCCACCAAACCTAATCAATCGGAGCCCCATCCACGTTCCCTCCTGTTGAACCCGCCCCGAAATCTCTCCTCCCATTCCAGCGCCTTCTTAGTTAGCCTGCCTGCTGGTGCCTCTACTTCCTCCCTCTCCTGGTCGACTCCTCTTTCCTCCCATCCTGATGTGATTTGCTTCCCAGCAGCAATTCAAACGCCCTTTCTCGACGTCCGCCTTTTTTGCTGTTTAATTCGAAACATCGACACTCGCTTGATTCTACCCGCTCGTTTTTGGCCGTTTATTGAAAGAGGAGGAATTCACAAACCAAGCACAATTCTCCCGGGTCCCGAATTACTTGACAAGCCAACGACAACCCCCCAGGTTTTGTTATTACGAATTTACTGCGAAAAAAGGGGTGGCCACGATCCAACACCATCTCCCTCAACCACGACTATTCGATACCGAATATCCAAAGACACCAAGAACGTCCTTCTCGACCGACTGCACTCGCTTTTTAAACCATTTTGGTTAATTTTGAAGGCCTCGACGACGTCCTTCCGCTAGGAACCTCGTCCTCAAATTCAACACACACTCATAAATTTCACCGGGAACCTACCTCCTCCCACATCGAAATGAAGGCCGTTCAGTCTCTCGCTCTCGGCCTTGCCGTCTTCACTCCTCTGGCCTCCGCCTGGCCCAAGTGGCTTCCAGATGTCGATGCCCTGGTTGTGCGGCAAAACGATCAATCCTCAACCGGTATGTCGTGCCACGTTTCCCCCGAGATCTTCCCGTCGTCACATTGTGTTTGTGAACCTCCATAGCTAACTTTACTCACCAGCTGCCGCAACTCAGACCGCGACTGCTCAGACTGGCGCCACAGCAACAGGAACGGCACAGGCGACAAACACCGGCGGCGCGAAGACCACCAACCTCAACACCGCAAAGCTTCCCACAGGCACTGAGACGGGCACTGGCACCAAGACAGGCACCAGCAAGTCCAAGGCGACCTCTTTCGATGACACAGATCCGGCTGGTGGCATTACCATGGTCACGCCAGCGGCCACGGCTCAGTCTATCAACCTTTACAAAATAGGAGACTTTGTCACCTGGGGATGGAACTACACAAACCTTCAAGCCTCTCCTACGGCCATCGATGTCCTTGTTTCGTGCTCATCCATGGCTCAGACCTGGACATTGACACAGAACATGACCTTTGCTCAGCCCGCCTCCTTCACCTGGGATTCGAGCGTGCAGGCGACCGACCCCTCAGCGCCGTTGCGAAACGACGAATACACTCTTGTCATCTACGACGCGGAATCGAGCGTCAGTGCTACCGCTCAGCCTGGCTACCTTGGTGTTTATTCCAGCTTCAAGTTTGGCATGTACAAGGCTCAAGAATACAAGCCCCTGAACGAGTGGAACTGCGCAACGTGCTCTGCTGCGTCTGGTCTCGACAGCAAGGCTCTCAGCATGGCTGTCGGTATGAGCGTTCTCACGGTGGCCAGTTTCACATGGTTTGTGGCGGGAGTGGGCATGTTTTAACGACGTGTTCAATAATGACCAAAAATTTTCATCTGTAATTTTTGAATATCTAGTTGCTTTGGGGGGCCTAACAAGAGCGAGGAACAAGAGTCCAGCGGTAATCATTTACGGTGGTCATTTCTACACAACACCAAGGGCGGCGTTACGTGTCAAAGCATGGTCGGGCAAAATATGACTCCGCATATAGGTAAACTCAAGACGTTTATGAGTGTTATCTTGATATATAGCTTAATTGATGATACTGGCTGATACATGGCCGTATGAACTATCAACTCTTCTCTTACACCATCCTGAGTGAGAATCCACCGCCTTTCTCTTCCTTGTCTCTGCCCTGGAAGATGCCGCTAAAGTCGACATCACCCAGATCTGCTGCATTCTGCCCGCGGACGGGAGCATTCGGTTCATGTCTTCGCCTCTTCTCCTGGCCA